TGTGTGGATATATGGAATAATAAAAATGTCAAACATATGCATAAAAATTAAGTATTATTCGCAAAGTTTATATCGAAAAAGAATCAATACAAAAATCAATTAAACACAGTCTGCAAAAGCAATAAACGAAAACTTCCGACATGCAAAGATTAAAGGTTTAATCAATTGACAGACACAGCAATTTTAATATTAGCACAATTAAAGACATGCGAAGAATATATCAATTGAAATCATTTTGATTTTTTTGTATTGAAGAATACAATTACAACATTTTATTATCTGTTCTTTTTATTTTTAATTAATGAATATTATATTAATTATATTAATTTTTAATTAAGCATATTTTTATTCGTTTCTTTAATAATATTTGATTAAAAAATATAATGAATAAAGGTACAAAATGGTACATACAGACAGGTAAAGCATTGGTATTTATTTAATCTAAATAGTAAATAAAAGCTGTCGGAAAATTAATTTGGTGTACATGGTGCAAAATACCTGGGGATGGTAAAGTACCTGGGTATGCATGCTGATGATAAATTAACATGAAGACATCACATTAATAAAAAAAAATAAAAATTTCGCAAAAAACTAAGGAATTATATTAGGTAATGAGCTGAAACAAATTACTTTTGTACAATAGTGTAATAAAACCATTATGAATGTAAGGTGTAACTGTGAAGTAATAGAACAATGCACCAACATCAAATATTGCCATGATAGAAAAAACCCAAACCAATATTCTTTCTTGATCAAGATCTTGAATTAATTTGATTCAAGATCATTTCTTAACGCACCGTGGTATGTTACAAGTTTCACATGATACAAAAAGCTGAAAATGTTAACCGTACAAGAAACAATACAAGAGCGGGCTATAATACATACAAACAAAATTATAGACCCACTCAAATCTAATAGTTGAAGACATCCTACTACCGGAAGATAATAAAAAATGGTTAAAAATAAAATAAGATGAAAAAATCATATTCGTTACTCTTATTGGTACATAATCTTAGTTGAGCATTCTGCGGCAGAATATTATGAGAGTGCATAAAAATGTTCTTCGGTATTTTTCATTTGATAAGCCTGTGCTAAATCTGCTTTAATAAAGGTTGCAATAAATATAGGGTGGGCCAATTAGAAATTGGAATTCATCGATAGCAACTTGCCTGTAGGCCACACCGTGCGGAAATTGAAGTTGCGATATATGGGAAAAAACTAAGAACTTTGAGACTTTTCTAACGATGTATAATACTTAAAAAATATCTAAACCGTAAGATCACTAGATCACTAGGGCCACTAGATGGACCACCCCCGTCACTATGGCTTCAAATCAACTAATCATGGTCCATTTCTGAATAAGCAACATCTACTTCCCGGTTCAGTTGGCTAGAATCATAAATTTCATAGGAATTTGATTTCGTCGGTGCTATAAAAATTGCAGAGATGCTAAAAGACCACCTCGTCCCACCATGTAAGCTGTCGTGATCGAAGTTGTTCTGATGTCGAGCCAGTTGTTTACGCAATGACCAGTTATATTTATTTCATGTCACCGCATTGTTTTGTAAACACGCGCAGAAGGAAAGCTCCGTCGTGCATTAATCTTATCAAAGTCGCTTGTCGTATAGGGAATCGGGACAGGATAGCTTTGTTGAGCGAACAAAACATGCTTTATTCGCGAAGCATCGAACATCTGCTTCGAAATCGAAGGATTTTGCACGAAGACACCGTCGTTATCGATCACATGACGTTAAATTCACACTTTTGAGAAAATTGGATAAAATTTTTACCTTTAAAATTTTATGTTTTTATTTTCGAAAATCTTTTGGTTATTTATTTATCAGAATATAAGGTAAATAAAATAACGTTGAAAGTATATAATGGCTCATAATAGGCCAATTCTTGAATAAAATAGTCATTTTATGCTAGTGGTCTTTTATGTATGGAGAGTAGTCGCATGAGTTGGCAATCATGTATCTGTCAAGAAGCTATGTTTGTGGTATTTGATCAAGTTTTTTACACAATCTCACTGCAAAAACCTAACCTTATGTAGACAAATGTCAATATATAACATTCGACTTCACGCCTATTATAGTTTTAGATACAAAAAGTGATTGAATTTAAAATAACACATACAGAAAGTCTAACTAATATTATAATTCAGCATTTGCTCCATTTGGAGGTTATGTTTTATCGGTTGAGATTGTGAAAAACACTCGAATAACACCGTAGATACAGTTTGTTTGACAGTTTCATAACTACTCGACATAAGAGATCGGTAATAATAATAGCTATTTTACCATTGGCATAATTTGAGAATTGGCCCATTAGCATAATTTGTCCCAAAACCATAAATGCTTAAGAAGAAATATTCCGATAGAATATCCCGAAGATCCATATCCCGAAGAAATGATTTCAGAAGAAATTTTGAAAAACCATTATTCTTAGTATACATATTTTTCAAAAGTTCTTCTCATTTTAGCCCAAGAAAGTTTAAGACAACTATTGTTCTAATCTTGATTTTGCAATGATATGAAAATATTATGAAGCTACTATTTATGTAATAATATATATTAAATGGTAGATTTAATAAAATACATAATTAGAATGAAATTTAAGTACCGGCATGTTATCAAAAAATAAAAATTTCATTGAAGAAAAGGTTATCAAAAGCCTAATTATTTTAAGAAAACAAGTATTGTATCAAAATAAAACTATTTTCTAGTTTTTGTAAAAGTTAGTTAATTTACTGAATGAAGTTTATTAGATTGAAATCAAAATATCAAACTTGCTTTAGAAGAAATAAAATCAAATTTATAAAATGCACGATTTTAACGAGTATAAAAAATACATGTTAGTGGTATTGCTGGTAAAATAAATAAAAAATAAACGTGTTATAATTTAACATGTTAATCACCATAATAATATCAGAAACAATATCACATGAGCAATGTTTATGTATCAAAGAAAAAAAAAAAGGAAAAATCTTGGGAAACCTTTTTTTACGGATATAGGATTAAATTTAGTAATTACAGAAAATAAATGATAAATTGAATGAATTACAGTAAAATTAAGGTGACCATATTTTTTTGCCTGAAATCCGGGACGGATTAGAATGTGTGTGAGAGCGGGGGGAGTGTTGGTGACCTAAAAACTTATATGCACATTTTTTCGGTTCAAATTTTCTAGTAGAAATATATTTAAAAAAAATATTGGCAATCAAAACATTTTTAAAAATCCGGGACAATCCGGTACGAAACACCTAAAACCGAGACAAAAATCGCTTTTAGAAAAAGCCGGTACGCAAGGCGGAAAATCGGGGCTGTCCCGGTCAATCCGAGACGTATGGTCACCTTAGTAAAATACAACTCTAAAACAATATTAAGCCTTATAAAACAATATTAAGCCTTCTTTTTGTCATACATATGATTGACATAGTGCTATGCTAAAAAAAATGTTCTACCAAATCGCGTACGTCAGAAATATCTGACATGGCTCCTGTAGAGCTTCCTAGCTTCAGACACATATGACTGATTCTGCGTTTAACGTGTTAAAAAAGTATTTTTTTGCAACCATGGTCCGTTTTGTATCAAGATAAATTTATTCCAGCTCAGCTAGCTAAGTTATCCTATTCCGCTGTATAACAATTTCCAGAGTTAACTTTTCGAAGCAATTCTATTTATTTCCAATAAACAAAAATCCGGAACAAAACACCTAAAACCGGGACAAATATTGCTTTTAGAAAAAGCCGGGACGCAAGTCGGAAAATCGGGACTGTCCCGGTCAATCCGGGACGTATGGTCACCTTAGTAAAATACAACTCTAAAACAATATTAAGCCTAATATAGCAATATTAAACCTTCTTTTTGTCAGACATATGATTGAGATAGCGCTATGCTAAAAAAATGTTCTCCTACCAAATCTCGTACGTCAGAAATATCTTTCTGACATGGCTCATGTAGAGCTTCCTAGCTTCAGACACATATGACTGGCTCTGTGTTTAACGTGTTAAAGAATTTTTTGCAACCAATGTCCGTTTTGTATCAAGATAAATTTATTCCAGCTCAGCTAGCTAAGTTATCCTATTCCGCTGTATAACAATTTCCAGAGTTAACTTTTCGAAGCAATTCTATTTATTCCCGCTCCGTCCCGTGTCTTCCATCCATCTTTTGACGCAGACTTCCGAGAAAACAAGGAAACGTAGCGATCGCGAGGCACCCGCACAATTCATCACCGGTGCCCGAAGGCCCGTCAATAGTAAAGCTTTCAGCGAATGAATCCTTCTGCTGTCTAGCCTAGTCTACGCCGGATAGACGAATAGAACAGACGAATTGACTACATCCAGATTGGAAATACGGAGATTGCTCCACATCACTTGAGGCTGTTTCCATTGAATTTGTGGATTGTTTGAGGAAAATAATATTTCTTTCGAAACGGAAGGTTAGCATATATCATGAGGATCAATTGCTGTTACCGGGTTGTAAAATAATTCACATTATTAAGTGTGAATGTATACGAGATACGATAACTTATATTGTTGACGATGTAAAACACAAGATGGGTTTAAATAAATTATTCATAATAATCCGTAGCAATTCCGTTCATTGACACAGATAATAATTTAATGGCGTTATACTTCGATTATATTCCAAGAAATTGACGTACTTGTATCATTTCTAATCGTATATGTTCATATTATGTTATAGAAATATTTATTTGCAGCCAAATAGTCGAAATGAATAAAGAACTAATACTTTTGCACGCGTGTCATCATTCAGTACGTTAACAATTTCAAATCAGGAAAAACACACCATAATGGAAAAACCAAACCAATTAAATAATAGATTAATAGTTAAATAAAACATGATAATCAAATTGTAAATGATAAATTTGGGTGCAAATGCACACTTCAATCTCATGTTTCAACGTTGAACAAAAATCTAAAGTTTGAAAATCATATTTTTTTTTATAATTTGTATAATTAAAATCAAATTGTTTACCTTAACAAATCAGTCAGGAAGAGTTGGCGGAAAGCACATACCTGAAAAAAAGAATATTTTTATTGAATTTGAATGTAATTTGTATAAATAATAAAATAATATCTAAATATATAACTAAATATCCTGCAAAAAACTTTATGTACGTAAGCTTTTAATTTTTTTTTTTAATATTCTGAATTTTCGCTATAATTGTAAAGACATTTTTCTTATAATTTAAATCATATTCTGATTATTACCAATGATAAAATTAATACATAATACGTTGTAATATTAATAATATATAATAAATAGTTATTCAAATCGTGTAACGTCTTGGAATAGCTCAATTAATTTAGTCTTTTTGTAAATAAATTCAATTTTTGAAAACACATCGAATTCGTGTGAGTAATTAGAGTATTGGACATAGCTCTTTTTTATATTTTATTTTGCCAGAATTTTGAATATATTTTGTTTATTTCATCTATTTATATCCTTCTCATAGTATGTGTTAAATAGACTATTTTATTTAGTTATTTTTATAATTTAAAACTCGTTTCGTCTAGTAAATATTTTTATATTTTTTGTATAATATTTTAGTATGATTTTTATTTGTCACTTCTGTTATTATATATTAGATCATAATAAATAAAATGACGAATATATATATATACATATATATATATATATATATATATATATTATTTTCATACATCATGCGCATCTTGACCAGTATCGAACTTTTATACTTGACATAAAAGCTTTCAATTTATTTTCAGCATTTGCAATTATTTACACACATATATATATATATATATATATATATATATTCCAACCATATTTTATTTCAGTTATATTGACCTAATTGTATAATCCAAAAATGTATTCAGGAAAATCAACGAAGTGACTTCGAGTTGAGAAATAACTATTACTTAACGAGGCAGCTCAATTAAATACCAGAATTAACTTTCAACGATCATTTGAAAACCTACAAATTGAACGTCAAAGTATAATTCATTTATATTCAAGTCGTAATCAGATTATTTCAATGCACAAGGAGCAATTATATGTTCTCGCTCACGCACATGAATAATTTAGATTCGTTATCGAAAATCCTCCACATAAAAATAGGATTCTTAACATTATAATTGATATGCATATAAAATGACTTATGTTGGTTACATTGAATTTAAAAACTAATTTCAACTTGTCTAAAATATAAATAGAAAAACTTTGAACAAGTGGATAAATAGCCCCATATGGAAGAAACATTTTAAACTTTATTACAGTTCGGTTCGTGTACATAGATCGTGTTTTTAGCAAAAGTTCACCATGTGGAGAAAATAAATAAAATCTAATGAAAAAGGTAAAATAACTGGACATCTTGTAATATAGAGCAACCTGTAATGACTCTCTAATATATTAAGATTCTCACAATTTTACATTGCAAGAAATCAAAAAAAATATTATTCTGTATTAGTCAACTCTTCTATAAATGTTATTAGTATATTTTCTGTTTCTATCTGTTTTTTAGATAATTTCATAATTACATATTTAAAATATATTTTGCAATAGCTGTATAATGATAAAATAGTATATTTTACAATTAGGTGAAATATGCTTATATTAATAACAAAACTTTTTGACTACGTTTTTATCTCTTTCTTGAATTTCAATTCTTGAAATTAATTTTTATTAATATTAATATTGTATATGATAGATAATAGAGGAGTAAAAGCATTTATCATGAATCATATACAGCGACTTGGCAACATCAAGTTATAGATGGTAACATCATGACAAATATCCGATTTTTTTTTAAATAGTAATATATTATTTGCTATTTTTTGTAGACATTATGACAAATTATATTTCGGTGATATTTTTTTAAATCGTGAGACCATAGAGAAGTTGGTAATAAAGACTCTTGATCTATAAGACTTGTTATTATTCTTTCCTTAGTTGTGGTTTTCATAAAGAAATATCACATAACGACAATTTTTGATAAAATCTACATGACCTGTTAGAAGTTTATGATTTTTTGTATCTACCCGAAATTTGAAATTGAATGTAGAGATAATAATGGTGGAATTATTAACCACCATAGATTAAACAATAGTAATTGCGTGATACGTAAGAGATATATGTACCTATATGGTTTGGACATAATGAAATCAAATTCCGCAAATGATTCAAAGTTTTTTATAGAAATAAATTGTGTTGAAACTTTTGCATTATATTTCTTTGTTTTCAACATTTATCAAAGCGTCGCGTAAGTCCTAATGTGTTTTACCATAATACTTGCTTTTTTCATCGAAAATCTCTAAATTATTCATTAAATATTTCGTCAATTCGAGATTTGATCTTCTCGGGCGCCTTGACCTAACGACCTTGGCTGGGACGAGACGGCCATCGCAAAACCACAAACTCGCAAAGACAAACCAAGAGAATAATAAATCTTACGTTCGAATCTATTGCAGGGAGGTATGTACCGAAACAATTTATTTAATGTTGAGACGATATTGCTTGGTTTTATAAGCTTTGGTGGCGGCAAATGCTATTGGAATATATCTAACGAAAGCAATAAGAACGTTCGACAATTGCCTAGATTAATTCAAGGTAAATATATTATTTGCAATAGACATTGTGATATATTTGTTCAGCAGGACAAATATATTTAGTCCTGCGAAAATTGATTCTGAGTTATGACATTAATATAATATTATTAATTAAATTCTGACAATGAGTTCTATAAATTTTAATAACATATTTCTGTGAAGTATACCAATTAACTAAAGCATTTGAAATTTTTTTAATATTAATTAGTTTTAAGTAATATTTTACCTTGAGGCAAGTTGCATTAACTTCCCGATACGTATGAATAGCGCTTCTGCTATTTAGGTAAAATGTTCAACTATTTACTTCCAAAATAAACGCTTTCGCTTTCACTAACAATTATTCGACTTCCGATTTCCAATTGATGCCTTTAAAATGTACTTAGCAATTGTGTACATTACATTAATTTAGTTAACACATTTCATTTCGGATTCTAGAAACATATTTTATTTAAGTATAGACGTCAACGGTAATCAGTAGCTGCCAACGGAACGGCATATGCTACAGCATGGTTTCTGATCAGAATCGCTTAAACGCGTAAAGAAAGTCATTTGATGATTTTTGTAATTCCACAGAATATCGTAGGTCTATATTTTGGTATGTTATTTCAGATTACGAAACCTATCGTCATACAAAGTTTCATCAAAATTGTTAAAAAAAAATCAACAAATTACGAAGAAACGGCCCGGCCATTATTTTCTACCAATATTTTTCGAATAGTTTATAAATTTTTAGGATAGATTCAATATTGTGGGCTAAAACGTGGGCGAAATAGTTTAACATTTTGTGTTAATTACCAAGAAACGGCTTGGCTGATTGTAGCGCAAAACCGACCCTTGGTAGTACTTATCAAGTTACATCGAATAGCTTTGAAAATCTTGAAATCGGTCTAGCTGTTTTCAAGAATTTACTAACAAATTCGCATATTTTTTCCAAATTTGGTCTCATTCGATTCTGAACAACCACAAAATCAGAATTTCTGGCAAAAACGTACTTCTCTTTTGAAAAGTTAAAGATCTTAAATATTTTACTTCTGCAATATTTGTTTCATTAGACTTAAATTTATTTACAGGACTATAAATTCATCAGCTCCACAAACTTAAAGGATATTATATGTTAATCCGTGATTTTTATGTCCCAAGATAAAAATATCTCCTCTTACAAAGAAGTATCTTCATCAAAATAGCTTCCTTTGCAGTCAGGTTGTCTCTGTATGTTTTATAGTATCAAAGCTAATTACTTCGGATGGCTATGCGCAGTCTGCGAGCAAAGTGCCAAAGAACAAAAGACAATGGCGCAAGATCTTAATTATTATTTTTCATTACGACCGTGTCAAGCAGGATATAAAATTTATGGAAGAGATTTCTTAATCGCAAATTTTTAATAAAATTAGACAACTTAAAACACCTGACGCGTGGCTTATTACATTGTCGGTAAATTAAATTTATTTTTTTCATTTTATTATAGCCTGGATATCGTGTCTCATAACATCTCATTAGGCGTGATTATGAAGATTCTTTTTGAACAAAATGGTAATCATGATGTAAATCGTGCTTGTGTTACTTGGTTAAAATGAGAAAATGTAATGCAATATTGTGCATTATAAGAAACTAATACTGCAATAAACTTTTTATTATTAATCAAACTTCTATCCTTATTTGTAACTAAACCTTATTAGTTAAAATTCAAGAATCGTAAAATTCATTAAACTTTGATGTGAACCAAAGTAGATTAGTACGACTATCTTTTTAATCAGAATATGCTAATAGTAAAAGACATATGAACAGCTAAAATAGTTTCACTGGGTATGTTATTTTAGTATTTTCAGTAATACAAGCTCCAGTATAATATAAATTTATCTTTTGAGATTAATGAAATGCACTGAATAAAAAATAATATAGTGTTCGAGATATGTTTATTAAGGTAATCATAGCAGAAGAATTTAAGGATTTTAAAATTTTATAAATGAGGAGTTGGTTACCAAAGTGGACCATATTCCACAAATCGTGGCAATCTGAGATACAGTAGAATTATGATGAATTAAATATTGTTGTCAGACTAGATCAAACTTAGAATTTATATCTTGAAGCAAAAACAAAAATCAAATTCGTTAAATGGTAGCAACAAATCTGTTCTGGCTCTCAAGTTGCTTCACGTTTCACGGAAATTCAGAGTGGACTATGACAGTCTATGTGGTTTCTATTTTATTTATATATTAAAAAATGAATTAAAACGTTGTCTACGTAAATGGTGAGTAATATGTGAAACTATTGGAGAGAAAAAAAAAAAAGAAAATGTTTCGACACGGTTCTGGCCTTCAGATATATTAGGGATGATCCACTTTAGTTACCAACTTCTCAAATGTAAGTATATAAGCACTATATCTTTAAATATCTTTACATTTAAGGCGACTATAAAATAATTGTGAATCAA